TTGGTCCTATGTCCTACGAGCCCTTCCACTTGAGTCCAGAACAAGATACCAGCTTCCGAATCAGAGCAGATCGTTTATTTCAGGCATACTTGGTTTATATATCAATCACACAGACCGCAACGTACCATAAAATAGGAAATAATATTTGTACACAAATAAGCCCAAAAAGTGGCTGTGAATGTGGGAGGCAGTAGTTAATAAACTGAACATAACTTAAGAACCGTAAATCGTACAATAATAAATTATAGGCCAAAATAAAGCTTGTCATAAGAGGGATACAAATATACATAATGCGATTGTTGAATAGTTATACAATAAGAGTATTTTATAGAACATTAGTCCATGAATAGTCCTCGGAAGTTACCTGTAATTTAATCTTCACTCGGATATAACACTTTATAACACAAAGTGTTTCTTATTCTGACAAAGTGCTTCAATTCTCAATCGAAAATGTACAACTCCAGTCAATACAAGCAACACAATCAAACGAGGAATAGATCAATATGACTGCTACCAAAACTAAGTATCAGCCAAAACAACATAAGTCCAGTTCAGGAAGAAACATGGAAACTTTGTGAAGGCGAAAGAAAACTAAAAACTATAATCAAATACAAATATAACCAAATTAAATGGAATCAAAAAGACTAACAAAATGTACAACTAAATGAATCAATAGGAACAAATTGAAAATGTACACATGGAGGGATTTTCACCCACAAAACCTTCAAAATGATCGTTTAATCACGAATTATTTCCTGATAGCTGGTTAGATTTCTTAAATTCTTGTTTTGCAACACGTACTAATGGATATAATCGTTGAGATAATGTACATTATTGACAGGATAACGTATGTTCTGTTAGATCCATATTCAAGAAACATATAAGTATAAACAAGTATTGATTGTACTACTAATCAATCGTTTAACATTCTAAGAAGTAAATTAACAGATCATGAAGGATATGAGATTTTGATAAACTTCGTTAATCATGGTCACATCATTTAGACACGAATAATTTTTATTACATTGAAAGAATTTATTTCATATTACATGCATGAATGTGAAATAAAGATTCATCAAACATTTATTTGGATCCTTTATATGGATCCTGCTGGATCCCACTACACAAAACCACCTCGATCATATTTGAACCACTGAAAAATGCACAAGGTCAATGTAAGACGTGAGAATCAGAAGAAAGGCTAACATAGCTACTGATAATCACCTGTACAACTTTGGGAACAGCATTACAATGCTTCAATATAGCATTTCATTCAGTATCGTCATACACTTTCTCTCTCAGTACTGTTTTCGCTCAGGTAATCAGACGGGTGCTTAGCACATGGTACACCGTGTATCAGTATCGGACTTCTGACAGCACACGTCATAACAGAGACTTTGAGTAAAACGAGATTACTGGGACTTCACAAATGAACTAGCCTTTCCATTCCATATACACGAACAAACGCCGGTCAAGACAATCAGTTTATTAGCAATCTCTGTATCGGTAGGCCTCAACATACACAAGGGAAAAACCATGATCTCCAAACACGACACAAGGAACAACAACTTAATCACATTTGATGGAAAAACTTTGGAAGAAATGGAATCTTTCATGTACCTGTCCAGCATCATTGATGAACGTGGAGGAACTGATGCAGACGTAAATTAACAAGGGATTCTCTTAACACTGCAATCTGGGCCAAATAGAACTCGTTAAGCAGAAACAAACGTATTGTATTTCGTATTCGATACCTACCAGGAATCAAGTACAAAACAGCCATTCTTTTATACAAACACCACAAGAACTCAAAATAACAACCAGTCAAAATCAAAGTGAATTTTTGTTTAACAATCCTAAATTTACATGCTTTAACCGATGTACTTTCCCTCCTAACCTGACCATTTTTTCGGACTATTAGTTTGGATATATGAATTGTAGGAACCTGAAGAGAATCCTTCGAAAGGAATATTCTTCGTTCAAATATTAGTCTTTTATTATGATGGGGATCTTTAGATGATTCAAATCATTTTCCTGAACGTTTTTATGACACTTTGTCACAACGTAGACGTATGAAGCTTATCAAGGCAAGAAACTGTTGAATGTCAATGAAACACTGGTAATATCAGCTTGTTCCAAATGAAGATTGCTACTTGTTACTGTTTAGTCTGTTTTCCATCCACTGTCCTCATTCACTTCCCTTAGACTCTTTTGTGTATTGTTTTATACTACTTATTTATATTCAGTAAATAGTTGTATGCCAAGCATAGTTTACGCTGATGTTGTAACGCAAGTTTGTTGTGTAATATTCTGAAATATTTACATATACTTGCAACACTTTATTGTATTTATCATTATAATTACTTTATCTCAATCATTGTAGCAGTTATTCACAATTTTGTGCATTTGTTTAATCCATGTGTAAACTCAACGGTTTCCATATTGTTTGCTGTTGGTTCGGTTTTCGCTTGTTGATAAAAAATACTACCAAGTTTAGGTGCAGCTAATCGCTGTCTTTAACACTATCGTATGTTGTAATTATTCTTTATGTTACTGTTACAGGAAGCCTCTTTTATTCCAGACAAAAAGATGCGGTAAATACTGCAAACACCTCACAATTTGAGGTCTGTAACTAATGTTTGTATATTATTCAATAAAAACCGCTGTTTCAGTGAAATCGTTGTTTTGCGAACTTTGATTTTGTGCGTATCACAATTGGGTGGTTTAGAAGTTTCGTGAAACTCGACAGTCCTCAACATGATCCTGTAATAGATGGTCTAATGTCAAGTACACTTAGGTTATTTTAGCTTCCGAATGAACCGATTTATCCATTCTTTTCTAGCTTCATTGTGACCTTGTCGCTTATTCACTTATCAGCCTTGACTGTTTCTATGTAAGAGTATGTGTGTTCACTTCTTACTCATCACATATCTGTACCTTATTTTTGTCTGACTACAAATATCAACTCACGCTTCGTAAAATAGCTTTGACTCACTCATCTCATTTTGCTTCGCTTCGTTTTCCTATGAACGATTACACGAAATAAACGCATTCAGAATCCATTCTCGTATTTAACCTAATTTATCCCGTTATTTACTAATACAATCTTAGTCAATAATTATATACGAGGATTTGCGGCATGTATATTTCAGTAATAATCAATCTACAATATAACTGGAATCAGATAATGGGTCAATAAAACTTCTTAAACGAGAGTCGAACTCACGAGGTTCGGCCTCGTGTGTGAACGCTTACACTTTAGATCAATGAACAAACATTCAAAGGTGTAAATGTCGAAATTCAATGAATTCGCGAAATTGCGCGACCATCATTAAGGGTTCTTCGTGGGTGCCTTCCATATAATGGTCACGGATGAAATCCACTGATAATTCTTGAAACCTCTTCCCGAAGCTGGTCACATGTAGATTATCAGTATGAAGTTTGTGGGGACTACTGAATATTAAGTAGATCAAGAACCGGTCGAAGTAAAAAAAACCATTAACATCGCAATGACATTCATAAGAGTCGGTTGTATGTAATAAATATTCCTTCCTATTCAGAAATTGTTGTTAACAGGACAGAGGCCTGACCAAATCACGTTTTAGAAAAGATGCCGTTGGAGCTCAGTGGTAGGTTCATTTTCAACTGATCGGCGCTGGTACGTAAAACAGGAAAAAAAGTAGAAATTCTCCTGCACGATATTTGTATATAAAATGACAGTTTTTACTTCACTGAATTAATTCCCTATTTGTAACGGAATACATCTTCGTTTTTTGTCTATGTTGTGTTTATATTTGACAATTGTCTTGGACAACCAAAGTGTCCAAAAATACTAAGCAATAAGATAATACCAGGCCGAAGGCGGAGAGACTTAACATTTCTACCAGTCAGAAGCTGATTACTTTTTGGGGGACTCGCTTACTCCAGGTCATCAAGTGTCAAATACTTAAGTTTATACTCACTGGGATATGACTTTAGTGAATAAGAACACCAGTGGAGATAATCGAATGTAGTTGACACGAAATTACAGAGCATCTCACTAAAATCTCAGAACCATATAGTAAATAGTTAATTTGCAAAATATCAATCCATCACGTCAAACATGATTGTTCCTTTCGCAAATATCAATCCATTGTCTTAGATTTCATTGTTCATGCATTCTTATACCAATCGCCTTCCATTCACGTTCTCTCATTTATGGACTTCTGCTGAAATACATACTATGCCTGGCGACAATTATATACTACTGATGTGGATATAAGTAACCCACACCACATGACTAATTGATTGTTTCATTATCACACAATACAGAAAATGTGTTGGTTTGATTTTGCTCTAGTGAGAACGTAAACGAATGTTAACTGATTAGCCATGAAGGACTCTCGTTGCTGTAATATATCACATAACTACAAAACTAAACACAATACACCTTAGTTAATGATTCTCGTATATAACCGATTAACTACAAAATGTAATCAGCATATTTTCTATATAAATAACATTTGTTATGCTTAAGAGTTGTTAGTTAGTCAGTAATGGTTTAAGTAGATTCATGTTGTATGAGAGTGGACGAGAACACAAGTCGGGTCAACCGAATACATCTCAATGCGATATTACAAAATATCATGGTAAAATCTGAGAACAATACAGTAAACATTTCATTTACAAACTATCCACTGATTCTCTCAGAATTTATTGTCCCTTCATTTCCATACCAATCACTCTGTTCTCGTTTTCTTCCTTTCGATCTTATTAAGATTCTGCTGACAGGCTTTCCTCTTTTGATCGGTGATACACACTACTTATATCAGTCAACATCAGTAGTACAGACACAGTGTGTCTGCAGCTGCCTGTGAATGAGAGAATATAATAAATATACATGTAGGCATTCATCCAATGATTGATCGATTTTCTAAAATGAAATTCGACCAATCAAAATTGGATTATTGATTCCATCTTCTGTATTTTGATTGGATGAATCAGTTGTCCTTGTTCCCTCTTTCAAGGGTATTGATCGATAGGAAGAAGGAATATTTTTCCCTTGAATAAATAATGAAAAGTTAATGTGACGATTTATTTATTCATTTTCACAATTTGGAAACTTGTGATTAAATTAGATTCAGTAAGTTGAATAATGATTTGACCAATGTGTTCTGTGATTCGAATGGTTATTAGCATTATTTTATTGTGTTTAAGAGAAAATCTCTGGCACTCTCCATTGTTTGAATGGAATATGACAAAGTATCATCATTTGAGATGTTGCCATGCGTAAACTACTGTAGAACTGTGATATTCATAGTTATGGATTACTTATAGACAATAAGATTTCTGCAATAAAACTTAATCACAATGATAGCTGAGCTATTCGAAGCGGATTACACGGAACAGTGTTGAAATCCTAATCCAGAAAATAATAATGAACTGCATGAATTATTAAAGTATTCAACTAGGGGAATAACTAAGCGAAAGGATTATTGTCTAGTACATCGTAAAAGGAATTATCCGATAATAATCTGACCTGAATTTCCAGTTTAAATGAAATAATCATTGAAACCAGGGAGCAGTGAACAACTGCTTCGTCTTGGAATATTACTTAACATTGGATATCCATAGCACTTATTGAGATTAAGCTTAGACGGTTAACAGAATTATCCGATCAACGAAAGTCCATAATAGAAACTACAAACTGAACAATTTAACCGTAATATCCTAATCTGTTAAAATTTATTAGTACACCGCATGTAAATGTTCACTAGTTATTTAAGTATCTGTGATAGACCATGAGTGTATTTATCAACTTCTATAACACAACGTAATCAGAATCTGTGTATTAAGTGCCGCAGAGTGCTTCAATGAAGCTCCTCAGATTGATTTATGTTACCGGCTTTACCAAGTACAGTTAAGCTAATGTTGACAGTTGTTGGTAAATACACTCTCCTCCAAGTACGGATAAATATTCACAATAAACAGTTGACAGCCATCGGATGATACTGCTACACTGGTCCGATCAGGTACGCAGAACAGCGTTCATTCTAGTGATCTATTCACTGACTCCACCAGCTGACTTCTGCCTATACGAAATGGAAGCCATAATTTTTAAATGTTTATGTTCAAAACACTACAATATTCATCTATCCTACATGTTGATCTGTTTTGCTTCTTCGTCTTCCAGGATTCCCATCAGACAAAAGTAATAGTGCAGTCAAAATACAAACCATGTCAACTTTAAGTCAACAACGTAAACTAGTTGAACAACTACGTCAAGAAGCAAATTTAAATCGTCGTCCTGTTTCTGAATGTGTGCAAGAAATGATTGTGTTTATGGAGCAGAATCGAGAAAAAGATTGTCTTGTTTCAGGATTTGCGAGTAAGAAAGATAATCCATTCCAAGAAAAAGGCGGATGCGTGGTGATTTAGGCAACTTGTTAAATGGATGATAAAACAAACAATTTAGACTCAATGTTCAATTATCCTTATGCTCTTTACTTCTCTGCTTATTTAACGAACATTTCGTTTTTCCTGAAGAACATGGGGAAACTAGTTCAATTTCCAATTAAATTGATTTAATTCTTAAACTTTGGTATTTTAATTGTATTGCTTCATTTCGTTTTTGTGTACATGGACAAGCGCTCACAAGTAAATTTATTTAATTATGCTTTTATATGAATAACGGGGGTATTCTCATTTCGTCTATCTATTTCGTAATATCTTACTATTTCTGTTGTTTCTATCTCTATGGATGTAGACACTTTAATCCAAATAAAACCAAATAACGATGAACGTTTGAAAACAGACGGATTATTCGAAAGCGAACTTTTCGTTGATTATCTGTGTTCTTCTTACAGTGACGTTGATAGACTACTTTACTTCATTCAGCGAGGAACCCTAAGACGTTAGTCTATTCACCAATGTTGCGAATCATTCTAATAGTGATATTAGTTTGCTGGGTAATTGTTGACAGGGATGTGTTCCATTGGTGACCTACCGTTGTTCTCAAATTGCCATGAGAGTCCAGAGCTAAATATTAATCACTGAGAATGCAGGTGATATGATAGCACTATTCTTTAGACAACTCGAGAAGGGCTCGGATTAGGAGTGAAGGTTAAGTTATGAAGTTAGTAGCGATATTTAGGAATCGAGTACGGAATAATACTTGGTAGCCATGATGATAAATACATGTACAGTTTCTGCATGATTTCATATACTAGAAACCTTTAAGTTGTCTTCACAAATCCACCTACTATCTTCCTGGTTTGTGAAAACCTTAAATGTATTTGTTTGTGTTCCCTTTTACATCGCAAATTAATCACTTTCTCATTGTTATTTTAAGAAACGTTCAAGTTAGTTCCTTATTTCTGCTGTTCTCGTAATAATCAGTGTTAAACGTCATACTGAATGAATAATGGTAGGTTCTACCTCTTTCTTACTTAGCTTTTCGTACGAAATAAGCTTTCCACCATTGCACCTTGACGTTTGCTCAGAACTCCATGACACTCCAACTTAAATCTTGTCCGTTAGTCAGAACTGTATATTTTTCGCTTAACTGTTTTCTTCTAACTTAAAATTCCTCTAAACTGATGCCTATAACCCCTTAGTGTCAGTAGATATTTAGGAAAGCCTATTTGAATCTTAATGGATTGAAGTATCATTTGATTCAGGATAATGTGCATATTTCATTAATGAAAGCCAAGTGACATGAAATTCTGAGCCAATGTGAGTATCGAAACGGCTAGTTATAGCCACCTAACATCAAATAAGGTTTTATGATGATCGACCGAACTTTTCAGACTATGATATGATAAGAATAATGAATGCACATTTCTTTTCATCAATAAGCTTGACTGAATCTACAGTATGAATGAGAAACAGTAAAATCGGACTCTTGTATTGTTGAAAATCAGATAGATTAAACGTATTTGATAATATCGACTAAACAAGAGTAGCATTGTCAATGCTAAATTTGGAGATACAACAGATGACTAATCATCATTCACTGGATTTCATTTATTTCAAGCGGCGATTGTTCACTGGTGTTTTCTGTCTTGGTTTCAACAAACTATTTGAATGGTTCATGGTTGAGTTTGTTGACGACTCTTGAATTGTTATCGACACAATGCCATTATCGTACCATCTTGATGATGCTTCAGAACGACCATTTATCAAATGTGGTGTAGATGTTGGGCATTTTAAGAATGATGAACTAGAGATATTGACAGATTTGGCTTGCATTTTCCCGCTACCCTATAATTTGTTAACATTATAGAGAAGCAATCAGTGAAAATCTATCTACAAGAAACGTTCATAGTTTATGCTAGCGAAAACTTAGTCTTTGGCACTGATAATTTTAAATATGACTTTGTTTCATCGTGAAGGAAACTATTTGTCACCTGACAGTTATTTATGCCAGGTAATTCCTCAGGACAAAGTGGATCGGTCAATGAATCAGTCACGGTTGGTGTGTTGCGTAACAGAAACGTGGTTGGGCACAGGTTATTATATCGTATCACGTTGGTATATCAAAGATGAAATTAGAAATAATGAATAGCAAACGAATCGGAATGACTGTAGTAAATAATCACAATAAAACGGAGAACTAGCTTCGAGAAACGTAATAGGTTTGTAGAATAAGTATGAGATAATACTGAGACTCGGAAACTAGAGAGTGATGAATGAATGATTGGACACCACCGCTAATTGTGGCACATAACATCCCCAACCAGTTTAATACAATAGATGTAATGTAGCTAGCAATGGAATCCAGGAGTCGTGATCGTCCTTTCGGGGACTTGCCAGCTGCATGTTTTTGACTACTGATCACAGTTGTTGCCTGAATTCCAACACTAACTAACATGACTCAAATCAACAGTCAGTAACTTTGTTTAATAGCCCCTAGCTAGCTTCCGACCGACTGTCACGCCAGTCAGGAGTTCATATCAGGTTATGTGGTGAATTTTGTACTTTGAACGTATACCGCAGAAGCCCCAGTGGGTGAAACAACAAGAATTCATCGAAGAATTTTCAGTCGTTACCTAGTATCCTACATCTAACCTCACCATTCCTCACTGTGTTAGATGAAGTGGGAAGAAAGTATTTCATCTTTCTGAATACTGAAATTCTAAAAAATATCTCTCCTTAAAGATCGTTCTAATCACTTGGAGGCTATGGAAGAAGTTCAGATTCTTTGAAAAAAATCAACAATTAGACAATAGTACAAGTTACATTGTAGGGACCATTCCAAATATGCTTCAAACGGTCTTGACAGAAGAAACTGTGTTAAATGAAAAATGTTTTATGTGGGTCGACTTTCATTACGGATGGATGTTGGTTGTAGTACCAGCGTAAACTAGAAGGCGCTATGTAGTCATTTTGCCCTGATATTGAATTTTTCAACAGTCAGCACTTTGTGCAGTCACCTAGCTTAATGTCGACTAGGCTAAGGCTAGGAATGGGGATTATTGGATCACAATTCAATAATCTAAAAGATGAGCGTTTGAAAAAGAACCTGATATCTTTCACTCGACCCTTATTTAAATGTTTGAAAACATCACATAGTATGTTAGTTTTAAATTCCTTTGAGTTAAGCACACATTTCAGTTAACACATATTCGAACGAAATGAAAAGAAAATGCCACCCTGACAACCGTTACTGGGTGGTAAACATTAAATCACTGAAAAAAGTATGTAACTAGGGCTAAACAACGCTAATTTAATAGGCTATTATTAAAATAACTGAGCATGCAGTCGATTTCACTGTTTTTTATAAGCACATGATTGAACAAAATTGGGAATTTATCGTCAATTGGGTGTACTTGAGGTCTATTAATAATGGTGTTTGAGGTGAGACATGAATTCATTGAGAACATCATCACTAGTATACTCAGGTACATGCAGCTGTGACAAGTTCCAAGAAAATCGAATCGAGGTCACTGGTCACAAAATATAGAAAACATCGACAAAGACTGATAAATCATACCAGTTGCTATAATTAGTTACGACAAATGTCTAGCACTTCAAAATGTATTTTATGTTACTTTTATTGTTGAAATAAATCCACCTGGTCATGATGAAACGTTCTATTTATTGCATCTCAATTTTAACTAAACACAAGTTTGCGTAATCCATTTCGAGCCTTTAAATCGAGGATAACTAGTGATACTATTAATCTTCCTTATCAAAATAATGAACCAATAAATGACTTTGATCAAGTCAACAGTCGTTTAAAGGTTTACCACAGATATTTCTAAATTTCTGCAAACAATCACAATTCTTTTCAGGTAACACTCGGAACCATCAATCGACCAAAAACTATGGCTGATGTAAAAACAAAACTAACTCTAATCCAAAAACATACCTCTGAATATCTTCGCTTGTTCAAAAGACGTCGTTCTCGTCGCCTTCTACTTTCTGCAGATGTGTTACGTATTCTTGTTTTGTGTAAAGATAGTGGTTTTGCTTCACTGTTTTTGTTCTGTTCTACTGGGACTTGTTTTTGTAGATTTTGTTGGACACTTTGTTTGTTGTTACAGTCCGTACTGTTATTGCAGCTTATTTGTGTGGTAGATCTATTTTCGGAGAATTCTAAATGCTTCATCGAAGATTTCGACTTCCCTTTTCCTTTTTCTAGTCTTTCAACTTCCTCTTTCACCTTGTTCTTTTCTTTCCTCATTGAAGTCTTCTTGCCAAATTCCTGGTCGATTTCCTTTCGTTTAGAAAAGCCGTTAGTCATCACTTCACTTAATTGATCAGTATCGTCACATGGATCTAGACTTTTAGAGCTGTTGGTAATATCCGTAGATTCATTACACTGTAATGATGAATCTGACCGCTTGTTTGTACTCTCTGACAATTTACTTGTATTAACGATGTCTTGACTGGGGCCATACTGCATGACTTCAGTTATTCTTTCAGATCCATCCTTCAAGCTGACTTTTCGCATTTGCTTAGGATGGTCAAAGCGAATTACTGGAACAATGCTTAACTCGCGTACTTCACTTAAACGAATAAGGACATCACTGGGAGTGATAAGTAACGGACCGTGCACTGCCTCATGTTTTTGCTCTGATATATTCACATGTTTACTGTTCTCACACGATGAGCTGGATTCACAAAACACGCACGTGTATAAACATGAAAGCTTTCTCTATATCAGTACATTAATATTCATGACAATAAAAGTTACCATAGAATCAAAAAACTTTATTTGTCAAAATGAATGCTAAGTCAGTCAATGTGATGTCACTAAGTGAGGTTTTCACACATCCTACAGTTTTGGTATACTCAGTCCGAAGCAGTACCTGGCTTATGGGGTGTATTAAATCATTTCAAACCACGGCAGTACATCAACTAAAAAAATCTTAAAGCTGAATCTTCTGGCCAGCTAATATATTAACACATTTGCACTGGATAGATGAAACAAGTGTGTACAAGCAATTCATCGTCTCCACAATAAATACTGCACTCGAAGAATTCATCATAGAAGGTTGGTTGCATAAAGTTTAAAGTAGAGAAATGATGTACCTTAAATTATCTGTACACATTTCTATGTAAAGCTAAATCAGTCAGCAGAATGATTTATTCAAAAAGAATTGGTGAAATCGACACAACTGGAGAATGGAAATTAACAAAACGAGAGCCAATGAAGGAGAATTGGTTTGAAGTAAATTTCAAAGGGAATGACGAAGATGAAAGAATGGAAATCTGGGAATGATTCTCAACTCAAGCTTTATGTGTAAATAGGGGAGGTTAGCAACTGCTCTGCTATGAATAATTCTGTGTTATGGCACTTAAAATCAGTAACAACAAATTCCAATGGTTGAAATCATGAGTCACTTGAAGCTAGACCACTATGGAAAACCTGGAAGTATTAGACGGCCGTTTTGTCCCAGTATGGAACTCCATGTTCTAGTTCTAGTGAGGAGTAGTTACCAGTGGAGTTCAACCAGGTCTGTTGTGAGATATTAACTCACTGAAGACAATGGTGTACGGTGGTGCAACCTCGTGGATTGGTTGAAGTTAGACATTAACACCGTTGGATGCTGGCTCAGTGGTCTAATGGTTCTGGGTTCGAGTCTCGCGGGGTACGGGGTCGCGGATGCGCACTGCTGAGGAAGTCCCATACTAGGATGAAGCAGCCGTCCAGTGCTTCCAAGTTTCCCTTGGTGATCTAGCTTTATTTAACTTATGACCTCACTTATTAAATTAATATAATATCCACAAAACCCCCTTTCTGATAATTTACTGTAAATCAAATGTATCAAAAAGTATCTAGTAATACATTGTAGTGCCACTAATGCATATGTATCAGTCAGTCATATACAACGTAGAGCCTGACACAAATGTAAATCGGTCCAAGTCACCACATCTCATTAGTAAACAGTAAGATGAAATCGTTATGGCAAACCCCAGAGTAGTAGTGGCAGTAACAATATTGGTGATAGTACAAAAGATTAGGAAACGATGATAATTTGATTAGAAATGTTGGACTAGTGGAATAAAAAACTTATATCTTAGGTTTGAAACTTAGGATCTAACGTAAAATACAATAGTCCGAGTAAGGTGCCTTTCTCGTTGAAGATTTGAACGAGATGGGAATTTGGACGGCCTTAGTCTGTTTTGGGATACATCGAACGTAGTTGGTTGTGTAGTTAAAGCACACAGATGCAGTGAGTGAAAGTTAATATAAATGAAACAACAATTTACCAAAGTATCATACATTAAGACAGAATTGAAGATACTTGAAAAGCAAGCTTACTTCTCTGAAGCATTGAACATCATTTGATTTTGTAAATAATCAGACAATAAATTTCCCCTTTTACCATGTTGACTTTGAAGTTTGGATTCAGTGAGTGCAAGAATTTCCGCTGGTTCTAATGTTGAAATTGTTCGTTCATGTACTCTTAACGGGTCGAAACTAATCACATTGCGCATGATAAATGATTTCTGATCCTCAGATAAACTGACCAGTTGGCCCAAATGAACGAGTATACCATTTTTATGCGTTACAACTCGAATAAATGGACATGAATTCTTTTCTTGACTGTCGTTCATTGAATTTCCTCTGTTTGAACTGAATATACTGGAAGCCACTTGTGAAATACTCACACATTTTGATGACAGTCCTGTATAACCTGAGATAAGTGACGTATTTGTCGGATCTTCAGTCTGAGTAGCTTTATTCTCTTTGGGTAGTGAATGAATTGGTAGTTTCAGAGCGTATAAAGCCAGGATCAGTTTAAGGATTTCTTGTGACGGATTCATACCAATCAGAAGAGAATTCAGTGACTGTTCATCCATCATGGTGATTTGGTGCTGTTGGTTTCTAGTATTTATCATGTTATTGATTGTTTTTTGGATAATCTGTGTCTCTTCAATGGATGCTGTAGAGATTTCATTCATCTATCAGAAGAAAAAGAAGAGTTATGCACATGCCAAATGAATATAATCACTGATTTTGACAAAGTAGATTAACAACAATATGCAAGAGAATAAATTTCTTTATGAGATTGGCCAATAAATCACTGTAACTAACATTATTCATTAACACAGATCACTTATGACAACTATGCTGGTACTAACGAGTGACCGGGCGAAGTACTTCTGCAAGGCACAGCTGCAATGATGAAGTGAAATTAGTATTGTTTGAGGTATTCCGAACGAGATTATCCAATGTCATAACCTTAGGGAAACTGTCAAGTAATTATTTAAGCCTAGATAGATCTATTGCGGATTAGAGTTACTCAAATATATTGATCGAAATTTATGGGTAAAGAGGCGGGATTGTATAAGTGGGGTAAATATATCTGTATATATCGTAATAAATCAGTTTTACAATTCAAAATGAAAACTTTATTCAAATAGAGCTTATAAACTAAGTACCATGATCGTATGCGTATTCAACATGAGGGCAAAAGTATTGAGAATAAGTGTTTGCGAAATTCCAATCGGAAAGTCAAGAATCTTAGTGATTTGTACATAGTATTCGTTATTGATTGACCTGAAGTTGGTTACCACCATAAATCAGAGAGCTCTAGAATGAGAATTCTAACCAGTTTACTATCCATGACCCCACCAGAGATCGAACCTGAATTCTTCAAGTCGTGCAACGAACGTGAAGCCTTTAGTAAGCACTGCTTCATCTAATACTCTATTTTGAGGCCCTTGAATCATGCCACCATGTCACCTCATAAATTCAATTAATAAATACGATGATAACAGAATACAATCATGAAAATAAGCAAATTACTCACTTTGATTGTTCTAATTTTTGAGTAGAACAGATACACCGAAACACTAGAACAACAGAAGTTGTAAAACTTTTACTGATAACACAAACCAAATGTCAATTTAATCATACAACTATGATGCAACAACTCATTGAATAGGACTCATTTATAAGATTTGATCTTTGACCTCCCCCCCACCATTGAGTTGAAGTAATCAATAATTTGATTGACAAAAATGTATCCAAGTAAATATCAATCAAGTGAATACAATTTATTCATGATCACATTGAATTGAATCAATCTGAATGGAATAGTTATTTTGAGAGAAAAAGAAATAAACAAAACAAGTTACTTTAATAGTTGGATACATGAGTCGATTAAAGAGACAGACCACCATGAAAAACCTGGACGATCGTTTCTTCCTAGTAACGGTACTCAATAGGTATGTCCTGGAGTTCTAGTGAGAAGCGGTGACCAGTGGAGTTCAACCGGGTCTGTTGTGAAATAGTAACTCACTGAAGACAATTGTAGACGGTGGTGCAACTTCATGGATTGGTTGTAGTCAGAAATTAACAAAACAAGTTACCATTGTCATCACAAAATCGACTTAAAAACAGATACTTTAAGTCGAATAATTTCCGTAGAAAATTTCATTGAAGTCATAAACCAACCATAATTAGACAACCTAGAACCACTGGAAGGCTGTTTCGTCCTTGTTTAGAACTCCTTGAAAGTGCGTTACGGCGACTTCGCTCTCAGAAACCTAACCAAAGACCTCCGGTCTCGCACGTGAACTCTCAATCTCTAGACCCCTGAGCCGGAATCTAACTGTCTTAATGTTTGTCTTGAATTAATCCACGACGTCGCTCAACCATGTTTCATTGTCTTTGTTAGGTGATTGCCTCACATCCAACCCGAATTCCATAAAAAATATTTTCCTTGAGTTAAATAAGTGTAGTCCTGTATGTAAATCACGAAATAATTACTGGAGACCGTCTCAAAGCATCATATCGCTTAAATAGTCCTATGTGATCCACTGAGTATTCTATATATTTTAGTGTTAACAAAAAAGTGTCAAAAGGTTATCTGAAGTTGGATACAAGAACAAATGAATAATAAATCAGTGGAGTTTAATGACTTCACAATGGTGGATTCGACCTCCAGAATGGTCGTGTGTACACGCCACTGAGTAATAGCATGCTAGGTATGAAACCACTCTAGAGTACTCACTCATTCATAAGATGTTTAGCTGAAGAAAGTTTGTAATGTTAATATTTTCAGACAGAACTCGTTGGAATTACTGATTCAAGAGGACCTGTTCGATAGTTGAATTTATATTTGTATATGGTACTCGTTGTTCCGTCTCTTCCATCATTATCTAATTAGGTTTTTTTTAAAGTCATAGGCCAAACAAACTCACTTGTCAAAAACAATGGTTGTTTCATCCACGTATCGGATCACTTAGCAATGAGCGCTCGAGATACATTACAACGAAGGGATATGGGATATTCAGGTATTCTGGAAATTACAACAACTTTGGATCACTGAATCGCATTCTATTACTCACATAATACGCAATCATCCGAATAAACATCCTCTCATACCAACAGATGCATGTTCACTGCTGACCAATTTCCATAAGAATACCAGAGGCATTTTAGTAAGAGATTGTCGCAAATGAAACTAGCTATTGCTTATGTGGATGAACGATGGTTATTCTGTCTATCGCACTGACCGAAAATTATCAAGATGAATCACAGTATATCAAAAAGTTATAATCGAGCTACACGAAATAAACGTTTTGAGTTCGATCTAATGTTCTATCAGTGTGATACAATTTTGAATAGCACCGAACGTAGACGAATATACTGTACGATGCTGCCTAATTTTCAGTTATTTGTAATTGTCATTTCAAAACAAAATACACTATTTTCCGATACATAGACCAGTGGTTAAGTAAAAATGGATAATTGTTGGTAGTGTAATCCAAGATACGAGTGAAATACAGTTTGGGACTCGTTAGTTGGATATACCTCCATCATAGTGTTAGTGTTCACGTCGGAACTCGAACTTAATAATTTTTGTTTCAACAGCTTGGTCCATTATCTCCAGAGGGTTTGAAGCTAATACTAATGGTTTTGAATTCCAGGGTGGGAATCAACACTAGATCCGAGGTACGTGCACTGGAGTTTATCCTAATTCTGCATTAATATATCCGGTAGACATTTTGGATTCGAGTACCAATATAAATACTGAATAAATGGTGATCAAGCGGTTTCGAATTTAGTGTGATCCATATAAACATATTAGTCGATTTATGAATGAGGCAGTCAGAGACAGTTAGCGGGACGTCCTCTTTGAGATGGGTTTTGAGATATTTGAAAATCATCACTAGAAAATGTCTGGAACGACTGGCAGTCCCCATGGGGTTGGAACCTATTTCATTCACTGTCACAGAGAAATATGTTTACATTCAGATATTCGAACATTCACTAGTTTACTAATCCTCAAATAGAAATCCATTCCATGTTTGTCTAATCCAATCAAATCACGGTATTCCTTCCGAGAAGTTATTTAATTCTGTATTTGATAACTAGATCGGTAGAATTCGATCATTACTGAAGACTGTTCGGGGTCGCTAACCCCATGCCCAACCCTCCTCCTTTATCCTGGCTTGGGACCAACAGTAGCCCCCGAAGGGACTCGAGACTTAGTTAACACTGAGGACTAGACAAACATACCGTTGACTGCTGCTTAGTGATCAATTAGTGTACTCACTTAGTAAATCCATATCTCAAGAATCCTACTAAACACAGTAACCATAAATTTTTAAACAATCATTTTGGATTAGTCTGTCATTGACTTTTGTAATAATTACTGATAGGAATTCAAAATGAACCCTTTTTTAAGTGCTGAAAACTAACGTTAAGCAACATGGAGAATAGAAGAATAAACTGTGAAATAAGTTACGTAATACAGAATATTGATCGAGAGAACAAATGAAGAATTCAGAGTAATCACATAAATGTTAGAAGCAAAATGTAAGTTGGATTTTCATCAACGTTCATTTGACTCAACTTCAGTTTATCGAAGTAACAATGAAGATCATACTTAAAGTTTCTGTTGTCTGTATATGATAGTGTTTTTCTTTTAAACAACAATATTCACATAATTACTTTATAAACTACTTACAAATTCAGAAAGATACCGACTTCTATGAACATTCTGTATTCGATTTTGATGCATAATATTCGGAGACGCGTTGTATGCTACTAATGTATGTCGATATAAGTAGTATATAACACTAGTCGGAAGTGGAATGTTTACGAACCGAAGGTTGAGAGGATTAAAGTGAAGAGAAGACAGAAGAAAATCGAAAGTAATCAAGATAACAATACGAGTGAAGGAACAATGAAGCTTGTAAGAGACGATTTAAAGAAGATGTGCAAATGATGTATTTTGCATTAAACAATCAATCGGTCTTCCACATTTCACTTCTTTGCTCGTTACGATATCACTAAGATATAATCAATACATTTTATTCACTAAGGGATTTTTAATATAAATGAATGAAGAATATACTTTTCAATAAATTCTCTTCAGTATCTACAATCATCTTTGCCAAATGGATCATCCAAAATGTGGTCAGATTTAAGACAAACTGCATCGTTGAAAAATTACAGTATGTGAATTAAGGATTGTTTGTGATAGTAAATAAAAACTTTGTTGAAGAAGAAGAAGAAGAAGTATGTTCGACAGCTCGTTCTACCAACTTCTGGATTATTTAGTGAATGATCATTAGGTATGTGATACGGTGAGATAATTCGATTCATGCTCGTACAACCCTCTTCTAAGCTTAAACTCATTCACACACCTTATTACTATTGAAACATAAGAAACACCTTGAGAAATTTATTCAACATTCCCCCCACCACCATCAACCGATTTACCAATTTGTACCTAATTTATATAATTTTACATATTACATTACTGTCTCTCACTCTATCTAATTCATATTCATCTCACATCATGAACCTGACAATTTCATTTCATGTATGAGATTACTACAAGTCAAGTCACATTAACATGAACGATGTGATTTGATATTATATTCCCTAAATTCACATGTTATCATCTTTAAACGAAGCACTTTCACCTTAAATCTGATCATTCTATGAATGATTCATTTGGATAAGAACATTTTGAGCAGTTTCAAGTAAGACTGTATTTATGCCAAATATTGCAAACCAAACTTTGCTAATTACATTAATTGGCTTATACAGAAAAGTGAGTTTAGTCTTTACCGACCAAACGTCTGAAATATCATAACTCGATATTTTCAGAAGAAATAAAAAACAAATTTTATTCATCAATAATAATTAAACTCATGTGAACAACTAATACGTTTCCATGAGTTCGAAGTGGCTTATTTTGTAATCACTATGACAACTAGTTATGTAATTTACAATATCCTATGTCACATAGACTTATGCAGTTTTATGCTGAGTAGTGTTTTTATAAAGGATAAATGTAGGTTGGAATCTGTTCACTAACAGTTTACACCTTACAATTCTTTGATTTGATGATTCCTTGAACTATACCCGTACACTCATTAAGTCTGAACTTGATCATTGATGTCAGAGTAGAATTCAACTAGATTGAATTGTTTTCTCAAACTATAAAATAGACAGATCATCGTTTACATTCACTATGACAATTCAATATACAGAAAACCTCAGCTACAATATTCAATGTTTCATATAGAAAGTATGAAGGAACTCGTTCTTTTTCTATGAATCATCATTTAAGTAGAAAATTGTTGACACTTTGAAAAATAAAATTACATTGAGCATTTGTTCACTACATTCATTGTTACCGTGTACTCTTAAATGACCTTGAAATGACATACATCTAGGACTAGATACCATTTCACCAATGAAATGATAAGGATCTTTCATTTTCTGGTTATTCATTTTATTAATATGAGTAGAATTACCTTCGTCAACTATTTTATACTGACTGACACTATGTTGGTTAATTCGATTAATTTTAAGCGAAATCTAATCAAAACTGTAGTTTATAACAAACAAAAAAAGCTTATTAACTGTATGACGGCAAATCTATCTACAGTAATGTTTACTCTGTTTATTCTGTGTTGTCTATTTCGTTTTTTTCTTTTTCAAATTGTCAATGACTAGAAATACTTTGTAATGCTATTGAAAGTAACCCTATTTATTCATCAACAGGAATTTCCAGCTCTCCTCATTGAGAAACAATCAATGTGACCACTTATGGATCACAATATCTGGTATCTAGACATTAGTTATGATAATCTAAATTTGTCAATATGACCCACATGAAACATTAGTGATTTCATGGACTGATACTGTCTCGGTTTGATTATTCTTAGTGGCATTCCAAGGTGTTCATGCCTTGACATCATTTGTGTAGGTGGATAGTGGCTGGTGTCATGCAACACATGTTTAAACCATCTTGCTTGGTTAGTGATCATTCACAATCTTTCGATAATGTAATAAGAAGACGATAATCTTAGTCTTCTTCTTATATTATCGAAATTTATCAAAGGGACTAATTGCTTTAAATTCACAATCTTATCTTATTGCGACTATTCCCAGCATTGCTCACTCGGTAGTATTAATTTACGCCAGTAATCGTTTGAAAACACCTCTAATGAAATGCTAGTAAATTACGAATGTCTTCCAATCAGACAAACTGCATTATTGATACAAAGTAATGTCAAAGGTACTGCTGAACAATATTCTAATCTCTTGATTAGCAGACAAACTCTGTTATCGATACATGTTTCCATAAAACTTGCAAATTTTCTGAAGCCATGTTCATATTCCTACAGAAAACCAGTTCAGTAGGGTTAATGAGACTCCCGGGACACCTTTAGCTACTTCATTCCCGAACATCAGTAATGGCGTTTAAAAAATTAGTCTTAAGTTAACGCACCGCAAATATACTTTCAATATACCTCAAAATCTAAAGACTGGGGGTTTTGTCAGTCTTCACCAAACAGAACTATATCACCCTTGTAATCAAAGGCGACGACTGAATCTTCTGGTCGCAGATAAGACACTGGAAAATTAGAAGAGGATTTTTTTAGAAGAATGTCTGTAAAGTAGTTGAATAAAATGGTGTAAGTGGACAGCCTCGATAAACACTGGTTGATGTTATTAGTTTCGATGACATTTTGTCATAAACACTTCCATGATCAATATTGTTCATGTAGAAAGCCTTAACGAGGTTTACATATTTCCTTGATAAACACTGTTACAAAACCTCCATCAAAGGTGACGAATTATGTCTCAGAGTCAAGAAATACAACTATTGTGAAACATCGGTAATATCAATACCAGTAAGTGTCAGAATTAATCCATTGTAGATAATAAGGGTTGGATGGTGATTAATCATGACGAGTTGTGTATCTTCTGCCCCAATATATGTAGGGTTACAAGTCGTTCATACAGCAGACTGGTCGAAATCCAGTCATCAATATTGATAATAGGATTGTTCAATTATGACTGAAAAATCGTGCCCATTGCATCAGCCACTAGTAAACTTAACTCAGCTGCCCAATGAATAACGCTTCAGTTATTCTCATCCAAAGGTATTGGGTTGTAGTCTCTGTGAGAATATCAATACAGTCACAAGTACATTCAGTTGGTGAGTCCGAAACAAGAAAAACATGAATCCCACATTGTGCTTTGATTACTCTTAAACCAAATAACCTCAACCACGAAATCTACACTTCATATCACTCATTTCATAGAAACCAATGTTAGACCACTGGTGAAAACCGCACCAGGAATTTTTCGATCAAATTACACAGAGAAGAGAAGTTGGTCAGTTAGTGATAATTCTTCACTATGATTTTAATAAGGTTTACGACGGCGTCTCACACAAGCGTCTTCTTCTAAATTTTTCTACATTTGGCATACGGAATTCCATCTTATCTTCGCTGTGATCGTTTTTATCAGGACGTAGCCAAATCGTCCGCTTTGGATCTTGCTACTGTAAACCTGTGACTGTAACCAGTGGGGTTATACGAGAAAGTGTGAGTCGCTCATTAATCTTTCGCCTTTTCATCAGCTACTTGTGTTTCCTCTTTCAGTTTGGTGGACCTTTCCTTTTCGGCGATGACCTAAACGTAGTTTATTGGTTCTCTTCTTCCACCAAAGAAAGCTATATTTCAGCGGAAATCTGAGAAGAAATAAACAAGTTGTACGAATGGACTGTTTCGTGGAATTCGCCAAATATTGTTGACACAAGTGGATCTATTCACATCGGCCGCTGCCTTAACCTGAATCTGGCTATACTGAAGCATACACTGAAACCTCTTAACAGTATTTGTGACTTCAGTTTGAGATATAGCAACAGTTTGAACTTTTCTGTGCACATTGAATCTGAAGTGTCCAAAGCTAGAAAGCTCATCGGTTTCATAATGATAAACTTCAATAACATCGAGTCGAGATTATTATTGTACAGAAAATGTAACTTACCCATTCTTGAACGTGGAATTTTCGTTTACAGTAGTTGCAGGCATAATGATCTGATTGAAATTGAAGGTGTTCAGAGAAGGTTCACTAAAGCTGTTTTGGAGTATTCCGATAGCAAGGATCATTACCAAACATTTCAACAACTCAAATTAGAACCTCTATGGATCAGGCGTATCAAATTAAACCTTGTCTTTATCTACCAACGTAATAACGATATTTCTTACTCTTCGGTTTCCACCCCTTCATACTCTATGATATCATACCACAACCTACGCAATAAGGAAAATATTCCGGCGATTACAAGAACCCACTCAAACTTACTCCAAAATTTTATTAATTATTTACTACCCAACCATGTGGAACAGACTGCCAGGGAACCTCCATTGCAGTGAAACTGCAACCCAGTTCAGAGGGTTTCTTGGATATTTCCTTTCTGTAAGTGGATTGTGTCACTTATTGAATATCAAAGTATTTATTGATGATTTATACAAACAAGGTCCGTCGTCTATCTGATTGAACGAAAAGCAAAGTGTAACCTTTGAAACCCTTCATATTTATCTTATTTTCTTTTCTTTCGATTCATCTTGATGTATGAAGTCTGTTTGTGTTCATACTTATTTATTATTACTGCTATTGATATCATGGTTTGTCCATTGACACATTAGATATCCTTTTCATCTCTTCTTATCGCTCTCAACATATTTTATTATTTAACATCCAAAGTCTGTAACTAAAAACAAATTATCTCACAGTGCACTTTGTTATAACTTGTAAACTCTGATTAAGGAGCAGTAAATTACCCTTATGAGCAGCCTAGAGTTCCCATTCGTCCTGCTTTCCGTCAAGCCCAGCCAACTATGTCCAGAACATCAATCCGAGCCTCTGCGATATTAATCATTACATTTATACAGACCACAACGTACCAATAAAATATGAAACAACATTTGTACAAGAATTGGCCATTTGTGGCTGTGAATGACGGATGTATTAATTAATATACTGGGCATAACTCAAGAATGGTAAGAAGCAGGTATATATAACACATAGGTATTCGTACTTGACTGTCCTTTGTAATTATTTGTGACTTTCATAGCACAAGTGTTTATACTAATACCGTGTTTTACTCTGTATCCTAGTACACAACTTTACGTGTATTCAACTGAGTGCACTTGAAAATTAACACAATTAATGGTTTGCTTCAGAGGTCGATGCTCATTACACTCTTGTTATCATGGATGAACCCTTTCAATAGGTGTTCATTTCACTTCTGTATACGCTGACGGGAAGGGCGCTTCTATGGTATATACATTGCTAAAGTAGTTCGAGAACACTTGAGCCTTACCAAAGTCGTCCTCCACTAATGATGAAGCAGTACTGTCTCCCCATATAGCAGGAATAGTTCCTTTTCTCCTTGTCCTTTGGTTTATATAGGAATACAAGCGTTTAGCACATTCTATGGATTCCTTAACAAGTTTTCCTTCGTACAATTTTCTAGACGTACGGAGGGTCGAGGCACAAGTATTCCGAGCCTTTCGATACTGAGATTTTGACTCATCAGTCCCCAGTAACCTAAATCTATCCCACATTTTCCTTTTCTTACGGAGAAGGATACGAACCTCCCTACTGAACCATAGTGGTGAGTTTTTCGGCCCCTTTGGTATAGTCCAAGGGATGTGAGGTGTGGTAACTTTTAAGTATGAATTTCGGAATGCGTCCCAGGCCGTTTCAATGGAGGACTCTGGGTCTATTGTCCAACCTATTAACGATGCTGAGTGTATGATGTCTGGTATATTTGCTTTCCAGACGTTAGGTCTGGATTGAGCTCACGCGTGCTCGTGATTGACAGTTATATGGAAGTCGAAAGTCAAAACTGCGTGATCACTTTTACCTAAGGCTGGCCTGTAATGGAGATTCACAACGTCATCCTCATAGTGAGTGAGTATGAGATCTAGTAAGGATGATTCAGTGTCCGGGTCGTACCTAGTCGCTTCTTTCACATGTTGCACTAGAGCACATGTGATATCCACATCAGCTAGTTCCTGCTCGAAGGAATTTTCTGACGATTCATTTCGCAGATTTTCCCAATCTACCATAGGTGCATTAAAGTCCCCTAGGATTAGACATCGACCAATTTGTGAACAAGTATTGAGACTGCTTAACAGAACCTCATTTAACCCACAGCTTGGATTGTGGTAGACCAAACCAATCAGCAGCTCTTGTCCCTTGCATTTCAAGCGGCAACTAACTAATTCACACGTCCCACTCTCATGGGGTACACTGTCGATAATGGCAAATGGGATAGCATTCCTAATGAATAGAGCTACTCCCTCTCCCTTACGCTTTTGTATTCTGTCGGCCCTTACTAAC